AGCATTTGTTAGTATAACGTAATGTGTTTGTAATGTGTTCGTAGCTTGTGACGGTCTGTTACGGTGTGTCACGGCTAGTTACTACTTGTTACGGGCTGTTACGGCTTGTTACTGTGTGTAGCTGTTTGTGACCGTCTTTTACGGTGTGTACGGCCAGTTACTACTTATGACGGGCTGTTACAAATTGTTACTGTGTGTAGCGGATTGTGACGGGCTGTTACGGTGTGTAACGGCCAGTTACTACTTGTGACGGCAGTAACGGCTTGTTACTGTGTGTAGCAGCTTGCAACGGTCTGTTGTCGCTTGTTACGGTGTATAATAACTTGTGACTTCTTATTATCTGTAACTATATTGATGTGTTGGCACCGAGTTCTTTGAGTCATTTTCTCATGTTTGTACCTTGTCTGATTGTGTCGGCTTTCTGTGTTACGAGTTACGTGAAGTAACGCGTGACTTTTTTTAGGCTGGTTTGCGCGAAAAATAGATCTGGCATGGTATACTAATTTTTAATATTTCGCAAAAAAAATTGAGAATAAAGGTAAAGACAGACCGGAAGGGACTCCCCATCTGGCTTTTGTGGTCGCGTCGCATTATCAAATTTCAGCATGTTATTAAGGGGTCTCAAATTCATCCCAACACCCGCCACAAACAAGTGTGAAATCAGGCCAACTCTTGCGAGATCTGTTCGAAAGATGAATATTCCTCCAATACACCTTTTACGGACAAAACAAAAAACCACATCCGTTTCATATCAAACTGGATGCCACCGGTTCAGCCTTCTATTGCCCTTGAGAGCTACTTGAAAAACGTCAGATTACTGTATCCAAGCCATGAAACAATTTGTAGCGCAATGAGGTCACGGCTCTAAAAACAACATCTCTTTCAAAAAGAGAAAATCACCGACACCCTTGTGAGGAAGGCGATAATGCGACGCAACCACAAAAGCCACATAGGAAATCCTTGCCGGTCTGTCTTTACCTTTATTCTTTGATTGGCTAATAAACAATGAAGCCGCGTCATCACTCACTCATGCGCATAACCGTGAATTCTTCCCTTCAAGAGCAAAAAAGAGAGGTTGATAATTGGAAATAAGTGTTGAATGAATTAAAAAAGGAAATACAAGGAAATGTTAGATGTGTAAGTGGCCATACGATAAATATCAAACTAAAAGAACAATCTTTATTTCTTTTAATTGAGCCAGAAAAAGGCAGCCTCGGGAAATAGTGAACTAAGAGTTGTGCAGTCTCAAAGCTTAAAGCGAAACTGATGCGCAGGCACACCAACTTTTGTCCCCAAGGTTCTTTCTATCCCTTCTTCCAAAATGTACGATAGAGGAAGGGTAGGAAACTGGAAATGAGGTTGCTCTCAAGTCATTTCATTGAATGTGTCACCTTGCCCAACCGTTCAGAAAGGAGGCAGAACTCCTTGATAATCGCTCGAAAAAATGTGTCCGAGAGAAGGGCACGTGCACTTGGATGCATAACGTTATCTGTAGAAGACTTAAAGGCTTAAATTTGGTTTAAGAAATGTTAGTGGAGAGACAAAGAGAGACAGAAAGCAATTGGAGTGGCAAAATGTTATAATTAAGTTTTATTGGGAACAAGAACCTAGTCCAGTGCAGACATTCGGTGCTTTACGTGGCCAACATGACGTTACTTTAGGTATTTGTTTCAATTCCAAAGTTGTTTAAGAGGCTGTCTGCTATATTGTTGGTCTAGTGACGTTTACTAACCTCGTCTCTAGGTCACATATAGTCAATTTCGTCTCTCAGCAGGTCTTGCACATTTGTGAGAAGGGCGAGATCATGTGATAGTCAACAAACCTCAGAGTAGTACTTGAAGTGTCGGAGCTAGCGGGAAGTAAATTAACACACTATGCATGGTATCAACATGGTAAATTGTCCCTCCTCCAGTTTCACCTTTTGCATATAGCATCAAATTCAGTTATCAGAAGGAGACTCAAAGCAATATCTTCGAAATATAATATTTCGGGGGTTACCATCCGACGCCTTTTACAAAATGGAATATTTTCACATGGTTATTGACGAAACAATTAGGAAGCGTCCTTCAGGATTCGTGTTAGTAAAAACATAAATAGTAGGAAATGTTAGTATGGATTTGAATATCGTATTGGGACAGGGTGAGTTTTTTGGGTCAGGTATTACAACGGGATTGTCATGTGCACGTGGTTAAACCTAAAGAAAAGCGTGGGCGAACCCAGGGGGTCATGCATAGATAGATAATGATGGGAAGATAAATCGCGAATCTCTAACTCAAAAGAGCACGAAATAATAGTGAAGACCTGACCTGTCGGCGAGATGAACACCCTCGCAGGAAAAACGACTTGTGGGCGGGACTGACCTGTAGGGGAACCGACCCGTAAGCGAAAATGACTTGCGCGGGTGGAAAAAAGAAAATCAGTGAGGAAAAAAAATTGATATCAGCGTGACGCGCGGAACCCTGGGATCGAGGCGTACGAAAAATAGGGACTTCAGATTTCTTTCGCCTCACTACCAAAGTTCCGCGCGGCGCGCTAACCTCAATTGTTTTTCCGCTGATTTTTTTTCCACTCGCCCGACTGACTTCGCCGAAAAGCAGGGAGTGCTCGTAGTCAACCTATCGAAAGTTGTTTGTCATATTACTAGCGGTCGGAAGCTACGAAAATGGGTGAAAATTTCACTCTATCATTCCTTTTCCTGTTTTTTTTTTTTTTTTTTGCCCGGCGTACAACCATCAAACAGAATGGTGGAAGCCAAAAATGACCTTTATTTTCCTGCTTACAGGTCTTATAAATTTCCTTTTGTTTCGATGGTATATTCAAACCCATGTGTTTCACTCCTCAATAACTTAACTTTCCGGAAACGTCTAAAAATCTTCTTTGAAAGAATAACTCTCATTGCTTGGTAATGCGCTCTCATTAATCAGAAGGAAAATAATTGTTTGCTGCCCTATAACGCGTACCTCGCCCTTGGGTACAATGTTGGTTCCCACGTTTGGCACAAAGCTACACGCAAGTTTCGATCGGCTGACTCGTATTTCATTTACAACAGACACCTGTTCAGCCGTGTTGGTTCGATTAGAGAATCGATCTTTGAGTAAGTTCGACTCTTATTAGGCTACCAGATCAAAAATCATCTGCAGTTATAGACAATTTGACATAAAACATCAATTTCGTATTCCTAAAACTCAGACATGAACTGCGTCTTGATCACAGCAGTGCGCAAGCGGATACCGCTGACCTTAAACTTCTTATCTCTATCAACTCTGTTCTTTAAGAACTATGTACCAAGAATGACGAAAATAGGCACCTTTCAATTCCGTGTACCATTGTGTTGAACACAAGTCATGTCTATGATCATATATCGAAATATACACAAATGTTCACGTATGAAACACGAGATCTCTCCCTTTTAGTTTACTAGGTAAAAACTTCAGGGCTATTCACGGTGGGAACAGCATTCGAGTGAGACGCAACAGTAGCTGAGTTCTCGGTCAATTGTTGGTCACTTTTAAACACAAGTGGCATGTTCATATGTTCACTGTTACTGGTGGATTCTGTAGACGGAGTTTGCATGGTGTAGTCTTGGATACCTTGTCCTTCGCCTGCTGTGATCAACCTGTTGTCGTCTACAACTGTAAGTTTAGTTTCATCAGAGGATGCTTCCATTGGAATACAGACACCTTGGGAGGTTTCTAAGGGGGCAGACTCTGTTTGAGAAACTCCAGAAATATCGGTAGCAAATTGCGCATTGTTTTGTTGCGGCGTTCCTATGATTTCCGCAGGAGTTGTATAAGACTGGGTACTCTGTACGGCGAGTTTCTCCTCTCGGTTATCAAGTAAAGAGTCATTGTTTTCATTAAAATCCCTTACAACTTCCTGTTCACCCGGTAGTGACTGGATAACTGATTCGGCCACCATGTCTATTGGTCGCGTTTCCATGGAAAGAAAATTCTCGCCCATACTGGTTTGTGATAGACTGTCAAGGTGGGTGTTTCCAGCTGCATGCTGGGGCGTAGACGTTGGCGCGTTAGCCACTGGTGACTGATCGCTTGTTCGTTCGCTCTCTGCTTGTCCGTCAGCCTACAGGAAATTTTACATTTTTGTTACGAGTGCATCAAATGGTCAATTAGAAATTGCATTACAAAGGGAACAACGCAAAGTCAACACTCTTTTTGCATAGGAAATCATACGTGGTGGTTTCTGGAGCGTACAACTCCTTTAAGACAAAGTACCTGTTGACCATCAAAGACGGCTTCCTTGACCAGTGACGTGAAGTCCATTCCAAGAGCCTGACGCTTGGTTGGCGGTTCACCCTCGATATTCTCTTCATCACAATGAGCTTGTTTTGTTTCTTCCCTGGATGTTGTTGCACTAAGAACAGCTTCAACAGCTGCTTGGGCCGTCATCACCTGCCCTGGAACTAGAAAAAATGAAAATTTCCAATAAGGCTCTAGCATGATTCAAATACAACACCACTGTAAAACAACTTTATGAACAATGATCTCGGTAAAAACATTAAGATCAACGTGTCGAATCCTGGCTCGGATCTTTACGAGATTAATTGGATGAGAAAAGAGAGCGCATCTCATCTGAGTGAGGCTAAACCAAAGTAATCCCAACGGCCAATCAGAGCAAAGTCAAATATCCAAAGGAGCCAATAAGAACTCAAAGTAAAAGCGCGGAAAAACGCAAGTTCTCGAGTGTCGATTGGTATTGGTTTAGGATATGATTGGCCGAAAGGATGGCGCGAATTTGGGACGAATCAAAGACCGAAGTGAGGTAAAACCAATGCAGCCAAGGATTACTTTCGACATTATGCTGAAAATTGCTCAAGTTTTTCGTGATTTGTTTTTACATACGCTCGATTTCAGCTGCTAACCTCTCGAGTTCAGTTTCCATTCTTCCTTGGGAAAAAGAGAGAGAAGCTGGGGGAGGGGAAGGAAGCGGAGGCGTATTTCCTGCTCAGCGTCAAACCCAATTTCACACGGCAAAGTTATAGGAATACTTATACTAGCAAATTTTTAAGGGTAACATGGCTGAAGGTCGAAAAGTGATGGAGACAAACGAAACAAGCTCAACACTTGTTACCAGCCTGAGACAAATAAAAATCAGTTCCATCGAGAATTACCAGAATCGTGCGCCTGACTGCTGTCTGCTATCTGGACTCCTAGGTTTGTACCAACTCTGATCACAGGGGCAGTACCTCCCGCAGATGCTTGGAGTGCAGAGTCCAGCATGCTCAAAATGTTACCTGGCTGTCCATGCGCTGCAAGGTAAGCTGCAGATACTGGAACTGGATTGATACTGTCTGTTTGTTGAGAAGTTAGGAAAGCCACAGCACCACGACTGCTGTCTAGGGCTTGTGGGATGAATGCAACGGTTTGGGGGGTTGCTCCTGACCCTGGTGTCTGGGCTGTTGTGTTGGCTTGTGGAATGAATGCTACTGCTTGTGAACCAGCAGCAGAATGTAGTGACGCATGGCTCAAGCTTGCCACCTGTGATGCTGGTATGGTTAAGGAGAGTGTTGTTGGTGTCTCGGAATCTGATTGACCAGAGAAGAAACTGCTTGCATTCACAACTATCACAACTTGACCTGTGTGAAAATCATTGCAAAAAGAAGGTATAAAAATTGTGAAAAACTTAACAGACACCCTTGTCTTAGAAGGAAGACACTGGTAATATGTAATAATCCTTTCAAAAAGCTGTCTGAGGACCATATATTACTTAGTCAGTTGGGTGTTAAATTAAGACAACATGTCCTTGTCGGTAATTTTCTCAATTGTAATTACCTGTTTGCTTGTTTTAAACAAAGATTATTGTAAAAAAGAATCAATAATAACAGGGCTCAAACTCAATTTTTCATATTTGTTTGGCAACTTGAAATCATAAAATAGTCAGTAGAAAGGAAGTTTTAGTCTCAAGAAGAACCAAGAAAAAAAAGAACAAATGAAATTTAAGACAGACATTTTTTTTCAAGTTTACAGTTCACTGAAGTGGGAACTTACTGGAAAATTTGCAAATTTAGACTCCAAAATTATTTACTAAGTGTCATAGCAGCCAGCTTGATCACTACGTGGAGCCCTGTTAGCTGGTGGCTCTTGGGATTACCTCTATCTTTATAAAACTTCAATAATGACTTATCTTCACACAAAGTGATTTCATTGACATTAGAAAGCTTACCTTCATCTCTACCAGCCCCAGAGCCTTGGGTGATAAGGATCTGAGGCTGAGAAGAAATGTCTACTTCTGTTGTTTCTCCTTCACCTCCCTGAATAATTTCCAATTGCTGTGTTTCACTGCCTTGGAAATTTACCCTGCCAGACTGAATCAACTGTTCTTGTTCTTGATTACTTAACACTGACGGACGTGCTGACTGATACTGTTGCTGCATGCTAGCCAAAGCCTCCGCTGTCTGAGATGATTGTGATAATTTTTCTGTTGGATGCTTTCGTTTACGGGTTTTCTCCTTAAGTTGTGGAGAGCTTGGTGGAAGATTTGTAAGCTATGAAAAATAGGACAAAAATTTGATAATCCCATATGATAATCAGTGTTTAAGTATGTGTAATGAAGCTTACTTTTGATATCTTAGCCCCCCGTCATGCACCAGAAGACTAAGGAACAACATTTTAAATCTATCAGGATATTTTAAGCACCATATGTTAAGAGTGGGAAATTAAGACTCTTATTTAACCCTTTAATTCCCATGAGTGACCAAGACAGAATTTCTCCTTACAATATCAGGTAGATAATAATAATAATAATAACAATAATAATAATTAAATATTTATATTGCACAAATTAACATGTGGATATGATCAAATGCGCATCACAACACTTTTCGCAGGACTTTGGCCGGACTGCATCAGCAGTTTACAAACAACTGAAGGAAACTTGTTTGAAGATGCCCCCTCCCCCCAATTCCCAGTAAACAGGCCAGACCACATCACAGTAATCTCGTGAGTGGGTTCTTTAACGTCCCCTGCCTAACCAAATTAACTAATTAATAGATGCAGGAGACGGGACCTATGGTTTATTCGTCCTTATCCGAGAAGACTAGAATCTCTATCCATTTCTTGATATTAAAAGGTAGTGCATTCTCCTCAGTTATTTTAAGACCTTGTGTGTTGGTCGGCAGCCGGGGCTCGAACCATCAACCCTGACCTACTGCACAACAGTCCAGCGCTCTAACCAATTGAGCTAACCGGGAAGCCGTTAGCTCAATTGGTTAGTTGTTTTAAACTAACTAGATAAGTGCTGAGAAGAAAGAAAATATGAACCAGGGAGATTATTCCTTGATCTGATACCAAATTCTCAGAGCCTACATCATAAGTATTATATAACAGACAGTAAGGAGATTTACTAATAAGATCTTGGGAGTGAAAAGTTTAAGCATTAAAAGAAGTCTTTATGACTATCACAGAAACCTTGCTGTCTTCGCGAAGAGAAATTGCACCTAAAGTTCAAAAGTACTTGAAAGGAACTGATCACTCCACTTACTGGGGGAAGTGGCATAAGAGCTCCAGTAGTTAGTGCCATCTGTGCTTGGTGAATATGATTCTGGATATCAATGATGGTAGGGAAATATGACTTGTTATGTCTGGGAGGTGGTTCTAAGTTGACAAAGAGTTCTTTCTCCACATACTCCTTCAAGCAGTGCTTAACAGTGTAAATCCCACTGACACCCCGAGCAACAAGCTCACGAATCTTGTGCATGACCTCGGCATTGAGACGTTGGCCTTGACTGTCACCCTCATCAGGGTCCATGGGAGTATCATCCACATCATGGTATTCATGAGCTAATGGAAGAGGGAGCTGCACATAGTACCTGCAAGATTAACACCAGAACCAGACAAAGACTTCAAAGGTGGGTCTTCTTTGTATTGCAAAGTTCCCTAGGAAACTAGGAATTAGACTTAGTTTAAAAATTAAATTCTGAAGTTGATTTTAAGAACTAATAAATCAGAAAATTAACAGACCAGTAGAGCAGAAATTCATTTGATACAAGTATTCTTTAAAGAAAAGACATGTCTTGTCTCAACTGAACAAAATTTATAGATCTTAAGAGACTTTTTTGATACTGTTTCTTCCTAAAAGTTTTACACGGGTTAATTTTCCATATCTCTTTCATAGACTACACTGTTTCCTTATTCTTGCTGGCCTTAGTACAAAATACTTTTTTCATATACAAAAAAATCTTTTCATATCCACGTTTATGTTACCTCTCTTCTCCTCCAACATGTACCCCTGCAAGCCGTAATGAAGTAAGTGCTCTTTCCTGAGCCTGACGAACATTCTTTCCCTCCAGATTTGGATCTATCCTAAACTCTGGAAATTTGCGCACTTTCTTGATATAAATCCTTGCAGGACAAGTAGGGCGATGTCTTTTGACTGGATGGCCACACTCATCATAATCAACTTGTTTCTTGTTCACAGCACCTTTTCTTCTTGGACCATATTGACACTCCATAACTGTTGCCCGGCGACCTTAAAAATGTATCATACTTAAAAGTGCTAACTTCTGAGGTTAAATTACAATTAATCAAGAGGATTTTTCTTTCCTTTAAGGGCATTCTGGTCTAGTTTTTAAGTTGGTTAAAGTTTGTTTTAGTGCTCTAACCCTTGCTTTTAGACCTTACTTCAAAGTCCTCACCTTCTTTCATATCTGAGAGCTACAAGAGATCATTAAACAGAACTTACACAAAGTTCAGTAGTTTTGTGTCTGTTGAAATGCAACAATATTTTAAATCATTTTTGTCCGGATCTCATTACACTACAATAACTTGTAAAAGAGAAAGGTGATAGGACAAAAAAACAGTTAGAGAACTCTGCTTGATTTAACAACAGATTCTTGGAACCTACAGCAGACAGAAAGGATAATTTGTAATACCATCTGATGAGAAAGAGTGCTATTTGAAGACTAACTGTCAGAAACAATGTAAAACTGCCAAGGCTACCCTTTCATTGAAAGACAACATATGGTCCCAATCAATACCTCTTCTATAAAGAACCAACACAAACAAATTCCAAGATCTTTAGGATAGAGGTAATCAGAACTGTAAATAAGGCTCTAGAGTGTGGCTAGAGTTACTAGAGTCACCCCCATAAAACTACCCAATCCCATTACATCAATGGATACAGCCATTGAATTTGATGAAAAGTTTTTGCCAACTTAATTAAGTTATTGTAATTGTTCATTTCCTGTGATGTAGTTGTTTAATATTATTTCAGGGACTCCAAAACAAGGGTGGATTTATAACTTGTACAAAATACCTGTATTCAGAAATGGTATTCCATCGTAGGGAACATACTGGGATTTCCACATAAGACGAATGGACGGTTTAGCTGAGGAGGGGGATTGTCTGGTTCCCCAACAACTGTTGGTGTGCTGTTTGTGCAGTGTGAGGATCAAGTCCAATTCCACTTCAGTGGTTACATATCCCCTATAGGAATCCCCTATAAGCTCACAGTCGTGAAGTCGCGCAGCCCACGGGTAATTCGCTTGAACAGCACTCGATAAATTCGCTATTTCCGCATGTTGAGAAGCGTCTAGTGAAGCACTTGCAGCAATCGCCACATTTTCAGAAGAAATGACCAAACTATCTTGAGTGCCAGTCACGCTTACAACCACGGACTCGTGTTGTTGGACTTGAGGTATACTCTCTGGTAATTCATGTCCGCTCAACGTGGCTGAAGCTCCCTCAGTATCAATAGAAATGCTCTGGGTCGCTATCATTGTTTCTGAAGTTGTCATCGTCTCGGGTAAAGCAGATGCAGAGATCGTGGTGATTACGCCAGCTTGTTGGGGAATAGTTTGAATTGTTGTCGGAATGTTTGTTGACATGGCGTTTTGGAGAACTTCGGCCGCAGAAACTTGTTCAGAAGCCATGATTTGTTGTTGAATTGACCCACTCGACAAAACTTGGGCGGAATCCGCCGCCATATTGCACCAAAATCGGCCAACTCTGGTGAGTTCTGAGCGTAACAGACGGTCACTGTTATCAATGAAATAGTTTCTCGTGTTTACGCTTGAAAACGAGACAGGAAAGGGGTTAAAAATAATAGCGCCAAAGTTTCAAGGAGAGCCTCGCTTTACAACGATGACGGCCTCGACCGCGTGGAAAAGAGAAGGCCTCCTTTTCATGCTTGACCGCCGAGAACTCTGGGATGCATGCAATACCCCGGATTTGAGAGGTGGCGAGATAGGCCACGGCTAACGGTTAAAATTGTTGCTAATTTACGGCTAGAGGTTAACGTTGTTTCTTTGTTTTCACCAGAATTTTTTTTTTTTTTACGGTTAACTTTTTTAACGACTTACGGTTAAAATTTGCCAATCTTTACCCCTAATGACTAATTTTTTGGCCGTTTTACGGCTATCGGTTAACCGGTAACCCCATTGAGACCCTTAGATAAGATATGGCCATAAGATGTGGGAAGAAAACTGGGAAGGGGAGAGTTAGAACGTACCCTGAAGACAGGTTGCATTGTGGAATAACAAAACAAGGGAAAAATTGAATGAAGGAAAGTAGAGTAAATTCCAAAAATTAAAGCAAAAAGAAATGTGATTTGTAGAAAGGCGGTAAATTTTTCTTCAACAATACAATTCCGATGCGGCAATTCGCATCTTTAACAAAATTGTTATGCATTGATTTAGGCATCAAGTTTCATGCCTTGGTGGGAGTTCATCAGATTATTAGTGTTTCGATTCCTAGTGAGATAAACTTGCTTAGATGCCTGAGCTTTAACAATTCCTGGGTGAATCACATGCCATCGTACAAACACCTTGCACCCACTTCTGTCCAGGAAAGAGCTTTTTACAAAAAGCACGTACTCTCCATCGTACATTCACTTAATCCGCGCCTTTAAAGCTTTGATTTCAAGCTTTTCGTCAAAAAATGTCTGTGCAAATGACTCGATAAATTTCCTATTTCATTGACACAACATGGTATTTACTTCCGATGAAGGGGTCATTCGTCACTCAGTGATGATAGCCGCTAGCCGAGCTGAGGGTTCACTGGGCACTTTTAGTATTTTGATATTCAATGCGTGTTACAATGGCACTCGACAACACCACTTGCTATCCATCCCGTGACAGAGAGTGAAGAAACTAAGTCGCCTGAAAGTGCTCAATTGTAAACAAAACAAAGAAAAAGCATGAGTATGTCTTGTCGTTGAGTTTTAAACGACGAGTAGATTTGTACTAAAACAGTTAGATTATTTCCTATTGATTTTTATCGACGATACTTGATTTGGGCATACACTTTTAGATTTTCGTTCCGCTAGCTCCGATTCACTGGGACTTCGTCTTTGATTCTGTCTCACGCCGTTCCTTTTTCGATTTTAGACTCAGTTCCATTCTTGCGTTTCTTGCTGCGTATTGCTGGCCCAACGATTCTTAATAAATACAAAGTGCATTCGAATGGTTTATTTAGCAACAAACAGATTTCATTTTGCGGGGCATCTTTTCAGTTATAGGTCACAGATTACGTCAAAATGAGTAAGAACAAAAGAAAAGGGACAAACGCCCCGCAGGGGAGTTTTTTAGGATCACATACGTTCCTACCACATTTTGGCGTCAGGAATGATCTCTAATTGAACGATACAGACACACGGAATTATGAAGTCTACATCTAAAATATATGATGAACAGGAAGGTAACATGAAAAAAAAAAAGAAAATTACAAATTGCCTTTTAACGCCTGACCGTTCGCATGAAATGTTCCTGTTTAGGTATTGCAAGGAACTTGGCGCCTTATGCTCCTGAACAAACTGTGGTTATTCGTATTTTTCGAAGCCACTGCGCTTACCGAGTTTATCCAAAAAATCTCGAAAATATTGTAAAACCGTTTGCCTTGCAGGAAAAGCAAAGTAAACAAATTTCATTGACGTCATCTATGCGTCTGACCTCTGAAAGATTATGGGTAACCACCAATCACAGCGCGCGTTGTTTTCAGTTCATTGTATATCTATCCATGACAGATGTATATGGTTATATGGGACTATAAGATGTACGATTTGGTGCTAAATGCATCTGAGGAAGACCGTGCTTGTGATATATAAATTAACTTGGCTGGTCTTTCTGTTAGTCCATTGATACTGGCTTAAAGCTGCGGGCATACCGAGATTCTATTTTGTCGTTTATCATTGTCAAAACGTTGCGTTTTCTATTCGCAAACAAACCCTCACAGTTTACACTGTGCCCAGCACGGTTCCCTAGATTGAAAGCATGGGATATCTGTATGTAAAGACTCATCATTTAGAAAAGAAATTCTAACTTAGCACTTCCATACTGCCAGAGTATAAAGCATGTGCAAAAACAGGAATACCAGTTATTTTGTTTGTTCCCAAGAAGGAATAAAAATGTGTCTCACAGACCTATTAAACAATTTGGACGGGAAAAGATCCTCTGCACGAAAAATGCAGTTGCAAATGCCGCAGATTTTAATCGTTTCATCATATCTTTTACTTTATCAAAATGAGTTTTTCGTGATTGCTTTTAGATCGATTGTGCCAGGTAAAAATATTTTGTAATGGAGATCCCAAAAATATTTGCCTCTTAAAAGGTGACAAAAGATCATTTTTTTTCATCAGTTTTTTTTTTTGTTTCAAAAAATTTCCTCTAACGACTGTAAAAGTAATAACACGTTTTGAGTGGGTCTCCTCCTGAGGCCTCACATGTTGTTACGATCTTTATGGCTTCGGGAAATTAATCAACCTTGTTTACCAAAGTCGGGGTCTTCAAATGTTTACTTGTCATAAACACTAACTGGTGAAGAAATCAAAAGTTTTGTCTGACAACAGCTCCTGTTGGGGCATTTTTATCTCCAGCGTTTAATTGAACGTATAAATATTTAGATCATATTAAGGCAAATCCACATTTTTCTTTAAACGGCGAATTATTTCTTTTGTTTCTGTAAACAAAAGAGGGCGAATTTTAATGGATTTAAAAAGGCCGACAATAAAATTAAATATTTTAGTCTTACGTCGCACAAATGAATACATTGTAGTTTTCAGTGTTTTGAAATCTTGAGTTGTTTTGTCGGAAACCTTACTAAATTGTCCAATTGTTTCCGCGAATTTGAAAATTACTTTGGTACATGGTGCATTGATGCATCAATGAAGAAACTTTAAATTACACAGCGTCTTTTTATTTTGTTTGGCCGGATCGCGCGCGGATATAGGGAACTTTTGTGACGACCCAAAATGGATTTCGTTATGCGATTGTCAACGTTTTATTTATCTCTTCTTTAGATTTTTTAGAAGCATAATCCGTATGTTTTAAATTTGGATGGCCTGTTCGCTACATTTCCATTGATTGGCGAATTGAAATCTATTATTGCACATCGGTGAAGCCCATGGTTTTCCTTTTTTGTCAAATTTGTGTCGCAGTGGATGAACAAATTAACATTCACCACTGCCCTGTTTTGCATTTTTAGGAAAAAATTATCATGGTAATTTCGGGCCATTTTCGCCCCCTTGAGTTATTACGCGCTATTTTGTTGAGCTATTTGCGTAACACAGTGCTTAATTTAGGCAAAAGGAAAGATCAATTGCGTACGAATCAACCTTTTTACTTTAACTTCATTGCTGAAAAAAAAAATTGTCAAAGGGATTTCGCGTGACAGCAATGACGTCAACGACTCAAATGATCAACAATAATTGATAAAATTCTGTTACCTGATTGGTCCAGTTCCTTTCCCAGGATACCTGGCGCTGCTACACGAACCGAAAGAGACGTTTCTCTGGCGAAACAAAAGTAAGCAAGGGAGCGAGTGTGGAATAGTCGAGTGGATTTCTAGGTTATGAGATTGTCCTCTTTTATTCTTGCAATTTTCCGAATGGAATAAATAAACATGGCTCCTCCAGGCGAGCTTAATCTTCTAAAAGAACCCCAGCTTAAGGACAAAGAAAAAGAATCCTACAATGGATATATTACAACTACGGTCGCTTCGCTTGACAGACCGCATTTCACATCTTGGACGTTGTTGAATGGTAAGGTGCGAATTGGGCCCGTAGAATCGGGTAGTGGATTTATTTTGCTCTGCCTGCTATGGCTTGTCTTCGCCTCAGTGCCAGAAGGAGTTCTTCATGGATTTTGCTCAGTGGTTCAGCGTATCTTCACAATATTTTTACCGCTTGTTTGCTTGATTTGTGTGTTTTATTGGGCCGAACTTCTCATTCATAAATACTGCAAGAGCCAGATCTCGTACGCTGTGTTCCCCGTTTGTCTCTTAGGAGAGCTTTGTACACAAGTTGTCCTTGGTGGATCAGATTTCTTGCGAACTACTTTTCTCTTTACTCTCGTGATGGCTGGGCTTGTAACACTTGTATTTTCTAAACTTAAAATTCTACCCACAAGTATAGCTCTGTTGTTACTTACAACCGCTCGATTGTCATGTTGGATTACACTTCGTGATATTCCGTCTTTTTTGCGGCCATTTCTAGCCTATTTTTCAGCGTTTAGTGGGCTGATATTATCAAGAAACATTCAAGCATGGTTTTCCCCTTCCCCGGGCGAGACCATTCAAAGCAAAGCGCCTCTAATACGGAGACGAACTTCAAGCGTTTCCTCGACTGGCAGTTTGAACAGTAGAAGAAGAACTTCTCTTCCAGCGCTTGGAATCCAAACCAAGGTAAGTAAATCTGTATGAAAGCTTCATTCATTTCCTTAGCTATAGATTACGATCTTCATATTAATGGGTTGGAAGAGCAGTTTATAACTGCCCAAGATCTTTGACCTGTCAAGCCACTATTTTTCAGACGGGGATGCATTTTGCATCAAGATTCGTCTAATATTAAACAGTACACGATCGAGTAGCGAGGCGTTCGTTTTACATTTCCCTGCATTTATTGTAATGCTGTTTACCGTTGCCTTCTGTTTGTATTTTGATAGTCGCGTTGGTGTTGTTCTATTCGAGAAAGCCAGTTCGAGCGCAAGCGGCCTTTTTGATTTATTTCAATGTTGTTCTTTTCCATGCGATGGAGTGTTCGACAAGCGGCAGGGAGAAAACCCAATGTACGCGGTGTACATACGAACGTGCATTAAACTTTCATGAGTGCGATTATTAAAAAAAATCTTACGAAATATCAGGTCGCAATCTCTGCGTGTAGCACATGTTTACGTTTTATTACTTGGCTTTGGATGGATGATG